CCCTCGGTTATCGACCAGGTGTCAGGATGGAGGGTGGCGGAGGAGGTGGTCACTTTGTCGGACCACCGCCACATCGTATTTAATGTGGCTATCCGCCGCACGGGCGCAGTCCCGGACCGCCGCAGTAGCGGCCCTCCGCGACGATGGGCCCTCAAGCGGATGAACCGAGATATGCTCGTTGCCGCAGCCATCGTCGCGGATTGGCCAGAGGAAGAGGAAGTACAGGTCTTGTCCGATCCAGAAGCGCAGGCTGCTTGGTTCCGTGGCACTATGACTGACGTCTGTGACGCGTCGATGCCACGGGTCAAGCAGGGGGGTGGGAGAGGTTCTCTGTACTGGTGGACACCGGAACTTGAGCAGCTTCGCACAGCATGCTCGAGAGCCCGTCGCCAGTTCCAGAGAACCCGAAGACGTCGGCGAGCCACAGCCGAGGAGATCGCTGAAGTTAGGCGCGAGTACGGCGCGGCCGCTAAGGCCATTAGCCTTGCGATAGCGGAAGCCAAGGCTCGGTCCTGGAGGGGGCTCATAGAGGGACTGGACAGGGACCCATGGGGGCGCCCTTACAAAATTGTACTGGGCAAGCTCAGACCGTGGGTCCCGCCACTGACGCAGACCTTGGACCCGGAGTTTGTGCGAGGAGTGGTAGATACCCTCTTCCCCGGGGACCGGGTCAGTCCCTCACGCCCTCCGTCGCCGTCGGAACCATTCACGTGGTCCGACGACTTTGACGTGACGGAGGAAGAGCTGGACCGAGCCGTGAAGCGACTCGCCGCCCGCAACACTGCCCCGGGCCCTGATGGGATCCCGGGCCGAGCATGGGTGTGCGCTTTGGTGGTCCTAGGGAATACGCTGAGGCGGCTGTTTAACAGCTGCCTCCGTAATAGCGTATTCCCTGCCGGCTGGAAGGAAGCCAGGCTGGTACTTATCCAGAAACCTGGCAGGGCCGCAGATTCTCCCTCGGCGTTCCGACCGATATGCCTGTTGGACGAGGTGGCGAAACTCTTTGAAAGAGTTATCGCCGCCCGTATCAACCAGCACCTGTCGCGAGTGGGCCCCGACTTATCAGACAACCAATTTGGCTTTCGACAGGGACGCTCGACGCTGGACGCGATTGCACGCGTCCGCTCCTTGTCGGAAGAGGTTGTCTGTCGGGGGGGAGTGGCGTTGGCCGTTAGTCTTGACATTGTCAACGCCTTTAACTCTCTTCCGTGGTGGGCGATTAGGGAGGCACTTGTATATCACCAGTTGCCTCCCTACCTGCGGAATATCATCGGGGTTTATCTCTGTGACAGATCCATATCGTATATGGGTCGGGACGGCGAAGATTGTCGAAGGGAGGTCACGTGCGGGGTTCCCCAGGGGTCGGTCCTGGGACCTCTTCTGTGGAACCTCGCGTATGATGCCGTCCTGAGGACCAGCCTTCCCCCAGGATTGAGTGTCGTCTGCTACGCGGACGACACTTTGGTACTAGCTGGGGGACATGGCTTCCAGGAAGTACTGGAGCTCGCCGAGTTAGGGGTGGCTTGTGTCGTCCAAGGGATCAGCGGTCTGGGTCTAAGGGTTGCACCTCATAAGACGGAAGCCCTGTGGTTTCACAGGAAACGCAGAGGTGCAGTTCCCACCAGAACGCTTATTAAAGTGGGGGGAACAGAGGTCGAGGTCGGGCGGTACATTAAATACCTCGGCCTCACCCTGGACAGCCGCTGGAGCTTCGAGGAGCATTTCGAGCGGATGATCCCCCGAGTTCGCGGGGTGGCGGGCTCCCTACAGAGGCTATTGCCTAATCTAGGGGGTCCGCGGGAGGAAGTTCGCCGCCTCTACTGTGCGGTGATACGATCCATGGCCCTCTACGGAGCGCCAATATGGGCCAAGCGCCTATCGGCCTCCTCCCGCTGCCGAGCGAAGCTCAATCAAGCGCAGCGGGTAGCGGCCATTAGGATCGTACGAGGTTACCGCACAATTTCGTCGGAGGCGGCGACAGTCCTGGCACGTTTCCCACCCTTTGATATCCTGGCGGATATGGACGCGAGGGTCTATGACCAGACTTGCGTGATCCGCCGGGGTGAGGGTGGGGAAGACCAGGATGAGCTCGAAATGCGGCGGAACGCCCACCGACAGGCACTGGTGCAGTGGCGCGCACGACTGGAGCAGCCGCGGAATGCGCGCCAACGCGCTGTCGGTGCCGTTCTGCCTAACCTTGAAGCTTGGGTAGGTAGGGAGGGAGGTTGCGTCACCTACCGACTGACGCAGGTACTCACTGGGCATGGTTGCTTCGGGGAGTACCTGAATCGGATTGGACGCGAGGAGACGGCACAATGCCAGCACTGCGCAGCCGACTGGGACTCCGCCCAGCATACGCTGGAAGACTGCCCCTCGTGGGCGTCTGAACGCGAGGTCCTGGTCGACCAAATCGGACGAGACCTGTCCCCGCCAGCAATCATTGCTGCCATGCTGGCGGGTGAGGAGGGCTGGGGCGCAGTGGTCTCTTTCTGTGAAGCTGTAATGCTCCAGAAAGAGACCGCTGAACGGGATCGGGAGAGGGCCGATCCCGAACGTAGAAGACGTCGGCGGCGATATCAGCCATCGACGGGGCCGCGGGCCGCCAGAGAGTGGGGACCTCTGGTGGCAGATTGATTGCTGCGGTAGGGAATGGAATGGCCGGCCTGATTGCATTAAGATGCGATCGGGCTGCCATGCCGTGATTGAAGGGGGAAGTGATTTTCCCCTGGGATAGGGCCTGATTAGGCATGGTGTCAATTCGGGGAGGACCTGAAATAACATGGTCCGGGTCCTCCCCAGAGTAGGACACCTAAGGCCGGCCGTCGGGGTGGTTTTTAGTGGAATCACCACATACTCCTGGCTCTTGAGTCCCTGAGGAGCCGGAGATCCGAAGGGATTTTCCACCCCGTCAACAAAAAAAAAAAAAAAAAAAAAAAAAGGGTTGTGTTGGAACCCAGAAACAGACACTTTTAAGTTTAGATGGGAGTTATCCAATCCGCTTAAGCTAACAAAAAGAATCATGTTGTCTGAAATGTCTAAAATATTTGACCCCTTGGGATGGCTGGCACCTGTCGTAGTCAAATTAAAATTACTATTTCAAAAGGTATGGGAATCAAACACCCCGTGGGATAGCGAAGTATCACAAGACATTTATAAAGAATGGTATAAGTTACAAGCTGATTTAGAATCCATTACCAAATATGAGATACCCAGGTGGATTTTAAGTGGAGAGCACGACATCATTGAACTACACGGGTTCTGTGATGCTTCCGTCCAAGCATATGGGTGTGTTGTGTATGCACGAATCAAACAACAAACCAAAACACTGATAGTCGCAGCTAAAACAAAACTTGTACCACTCAACAAACAGCTCACGTTACCGCGACTAGAATTAAGTAGCGCTTACTTACTATCTAAATTAGTTTTCAAAATAAAACAATACCTGATATTTGAAATCAAAGTACCCTTAATTAGTAGAGACAGCTACATCTTGTATAATATTATTCCGATCCCGCAACAAAACGGGAAAAATATGGCGACCCTATTACCCATAGAAGATCACGTTGCCATAAACATTCAAAAGGATTCCTACGTACCTATAGCACAAAGGGACTGGGATCACTGCTTAGCACGAGACTCCACTACTTACTTGTGTCGATTAAAAACGCCTATGTACAAGTTACAGTCAGATGTGGTCACTTCTGTGTTAAAGATGACAATGACCCGATACAGTGTAAAACCGTCACAGCTTCCTGTCGCAACCAGTGGATCAGCTTAACAACTACGAATCAATATCTACACTTTTGCTGTCATCAGTGTCGATTAAAGACGTTATGTGGAGATGAAGTGACAGCCCAAATATTAAAAGGAACCAACATCGTTCAGTTACAAGAGGACTGTATGATAAAAACAGAAAACGCTACGATCTATGCCCACAAACAACAACATAGTGTTATGAAAGTTTCACCTACTATCGAACCCATTTTCATTGCTCCTATCAACAACATTATAAACCTGACGATACCATCAGATAAAGACTTAAACTTCACCTTGTCTGCTACACCGCTGTTGAAAGAACTTGAGAGAAAAATCAAGGATCTGGAAAAGGAATCTGCAATCTCTGAAGAAAATGACATGTCTATCCATGACATACACCACTACACCTTGATCTACGGCTTATGGGGGGTGAGCATCATCGCTGCGAGCGTGTATTTGTGCCGGCGCGTGCGTTGCCGGCGGCAGGCAGCAGCTGCGTCTTCAGCCGCCGCGGAGGCGGACCGCTGCCGCCCCGAGAGCCACAACAGTGTATTATCTAGTGCGTGTGTGATAGTGAATGAATGCAGTGCGCAAGTGAAAAGTGAACCGTGTTATAAAGATAGGGGAACATCCCCAGTGTTAAAGAAAATCTCGTTTAGTGAACCACTGTGAACAATTTTAGACTTTACTTTTAATTACCTTAAACAATCACCCTGTCACTCAAATTTATTGTACTACTAACTTTAAGATAAGTGAAACATTGTTTATCATTCGATAGCATTTAAGAGTACTATACAAATCTCATTACTAACACTCACACCTAAATTTGTTTGTAAATTTATGCTCTCATCTCTCTGCCCTGCCCTGGGCCAGATGTTCGATGTATTTATTAATTATTATTATTGCTGACATCGAACACGTGAATTGAATCCGGTCAGGCCGCGACGCATTATACATAATGACAAAATTCTGTAAAATAAAACAGTGTACTTTTCGGAACCGTTGCGACCGGGTGCATTCATAACAATAACATATTAACATTTTAACATATCAACATTACATATTAACATTTCCCATTAACTTTAGTAACATTTAATACATTTAACATAGTTTGGTATCATCGTGTTTTGTAAACATTTAGAGTAGTTTATATAACAATAAACATATAATACCATTACGTTACATCCTTTTAAAACCTCCAATTGCACCCCAAACATTTTGAATGATGTCAACTAATTACTTACCCATCTGGATGATCTGCCCATGATATAGCTCGCTGAATTATATCAAAGCCCCTCTCTTCTGCAGGCTGGTAGCAAAATTCTGGCCTTCGCAAATGACAATAAATAATTATTATCAAAAAACACAAAAGATATAGTACATTGACTATTACGATTACAAGTTATCGTCGATTTTAGTCAAAAATTCTACATTCACTTGGTGACAAAAATTAGATAGTAGAGTTAGTGAATGATGAACCGTACCATTACGTATAAACCTTAATAATATACCGTTATTTTATAGATATTAAAATATAAGGGTAAAAATAAATAAATGTATGATTGATATCATGTTGATGTAGGATAATATATATTTTTATGTACGAAAATGATCTCGAAGAAAGCTCGCAGTTGTTAGGCCTCATGTACTGATGTGTAGTATAGTATACTAGCAGTATTAAATTTAGACTCTTTTAAATAAAGCTAAAGTAGATAGAAAAAAAAATTGCTCTCAATGTGTAGTGTGTAGCTGCAAGGTACAAAGTAACGAGATTAATAATGAAGATAGCTGTAATGTTAGTATATAAAAAATTATGCCTCGCAGGTAGTGAGTTTGGTAATGTAGGTATGCATAGACGCTACGTCAGTTGGCGCGCAAACAAAACTGACTAATGCATTTCTTGCAAAGGTTATTTTTTGTCAATGAAGTGAAATCTCGTTGTAACTGTGTTTTTGTTTATTTCCATAATTGATTTGTGTGATATGGAAAACTAACTTAAAGCTCGTGATAAATTGATTACCCATTTACAGACTGACTTACATTGATCTTCTGGTGTTTTCACCCTCTTCTTCACTCTCGAAGGCTGCCACAACACACCTCAAAAAGTTTGTGCTGCAATAGGTACTTGTAAATAGAAAGGGCCCAGTACATTCACGATCTTTCACTTTGAATGCAGAAGCGACACCGATGACTACTGGTTTACCTCGCACCCAAGAAACAAGTGGTCCGCCATGATCATTCTAAAATAATGTTATTATAGTTCATTGTTTAAATTTCACTTTAATTACACGTATATACACGTATTCATTAAAATTCACGAAACAAAATTGTTTTCACTCGCTACACCTATCAACGTATAGGTACTTTGCAGGTGATTGTGTTAAAAATAATTTAATAAGAATTGAGACACTTCGTTCAACCATTAATGAAGCTTTATTGATTAGAACGGTATAAAATATACCGCTAAGATGATTTACACCATTAACCAGGTTTATGGTGTAAATTTAATACATACACATGCATATACATATAATAACAAAATAATCAATTTTAAATTCTGCCTTTTTAGAAAACTTTAAACAATCACTTTTAGATTAACTAGAACACAGTAAAATAATCTGCTGTGACTGAATGATAAAATTTCTTGAATAGAAATTACCTCAGCTTTCGTCCGTTGTCTTTGTCGGATTAAACGGTTACGATAAAATATACCCACTGATTAGAATCCTGTTAAGTAAAGTGTTTATAAATAACAAACCTGACATATTCCAACATCATCGTGAGGCGAGGTAGAGTTGTTGTCAGTCTATAAAGAAGAACAAAATATGATACTCATACATAATTGTTAATTAGCGAATAACTTAAATTTAAAGAAAATAGTGTTTTCGTTCAATTCGTTACCAATCTAAATAATAGTTAAAAGTGATCAATTATTCTGATTCATAACTTACGTCTTGTTTTCTTGAACCCGCACCAATAATAATAAAATTGGCCAATATGAATGCCCAAAACAAGAATAATTTCAGCACTTGTATAGCAAAGGACTCACTTACTGTATATTTAAACCGAAAACCTTCAAGAAAAGAGCGAACTTAACTCTAACTAAGAACTTAAATAGATAAAAAGATTCACTCTCTTATTTACGCTATAAAATACAGAAGTGAACAAAACATTAGGCATGTTATATTTATATACCCATTTATATAGGCATTGGTATTTGAGTCACAGGATAATAGGAGCTTCATCCATGAAGCGAAAGGTATTGATCCGATAGCAGGATAAATGAATCATCATCATCATCAGCCTATCGCAGTCCATTGCTGGACATTGCTCTCGTATTGCACGTCACTTCGATTGATTTTCGGCTTCTCGCATCCAGCTCCTGCCAGCCATCTTACGTAAATCGTCACACCACCTGGCTTGTGGGCATCCTGCACTGCATTTACCCCAAAGGTTGTCAGTTCTGCGGCCATGGTATATGACCAAATTGTTTGTCATTTATCATGGATAAATAAATATATTTCCCTAATTTTTGTTACGTAGTATTTTATCAGCTTGTGGAATAAAATTTGATTGTTTTGAATTGTCTTAATAGAATAAATACTCGATAGATACGATTAAGTCAAATTATCTAGATAAAAGAGAAAGTAAAGGTCTAATTTATTTAAATGTAACAGATTGAATTTAAAAATTGGGCCAATTATTCTAAACATCCCATAATTTAAAGATGTGTCAATGTTATTTTTTAGGAATGTTTTTTTTACTAGTATATGTTAGTTATAGATGATAGCATTACAACATTTTAACAGATATTTAAAAAAAATTCCTGATATGATCTATATCTGAATTTGTTTACACGGCGCCCGCCAGTAAAGCTCCCAGAATTATGATATGATATTTTCTTTTATTTGCAACGTTTAATTGCGTCTAATTCATTCAAACTTTAATGAATAATGATTTTAAAGTTTCCTTGTGATTTGTTTTTATTTATTGCTTGTAATACTTTCATTCAGTAATGTTTCGTTTTACACTGTATATTAAGCATGTATTTACAAAGGAACGGCCTGGGCCTGTTGGTCTAGTGGTTAGTGGTCCTGACTGCTAAAGCCGGAGGTCGTGGGTTCGATTCCCACCCAGGACAAATATTTTTTGATGAGCATGGTCATTTGTTCTGTCTGGGTGTAATTTATCTATAATATGTACGTTTTAAAAATATTTAAGTATGTTTATCAGTGAGATGTGTTAACTTATTATTAAAAATGGTAAATACACATATATATTAACACAATAATAATAAGATTACTTACTGATGCAGTCTCATTTTCACCGCCATTTTTACGTGTTATATTTGCATGTTTTATAATTTCACCCTCATCGTTAAATGAAGCTAAACCTGATGTACAAATCATGTATTTCTTTATCACCAAGTCCATTTTGTACATTTCATAATCTTTCAAACATTTTTTTTTATTATAAATCTTTGTTGCACCGTATTGTAATAGTTGTTGGTTATAATTTGTCGTATCATTTTCCTATAAATCGATGTTAAATACCATTGATAAGTAAATCACAACAAAATCTGATTTAGAAATAACTTTTTATTTAATAGTAGTACATATTACTAGTTACGCAAGTACCTTTTTGGTAAATAAAATAATTTAATTGTGCTAATAAAAAAAAAGTGTTCGTCTCGGGCCGCCCGACAGAAGTGATAACTTAAACTAATCTAAGTTGAACTATTTAATATTGAACTTGAGAAAAGCTTACGTCACCACACGGACGAACAATAATATGGCCTAGTAATAAAAAGGCTTATGGACCTCAAATTTTACTATTTCTTAATATGTATATTTCTAAATAATCCCATACTTGTCGCCAATATCTGATATGGCCCCATCCTAAAGCCATAGCCTCACTACCGTCCTCCTGTAGTTCTTTGGCATCATAGTTAATATCAATCACTGTAGGTGCGTAACTACAGTGGGTGATGTATCCTTCATCTCCAACGATATTTGACTCCACTTTGATAACAGCAATATCATAGTTAGCCCACTTGTCCAAGTCATCATAATTCAAATCGTAAGCTAAAAAAGGTAAGAGCCTGTGTTCTTATTTTTTAATACGTTATTCAACTAAGCCTAGTTCATTTAATTATTAAAAAAGATAAATACTCTTCCTCAATTCTAGAACTGGATTCTATTAATATATTATAGAAGCAATTCTACAGTCAATTTAAATTTATTACGTAAAAATGCATCAAATATTGACATTTAATTAGAGACAGATAAGTCCCCATACAACAGAAATGTACAACAACTTCGAGTAGTCAAGAAGAGTCAAACTACGTAGCAATTACTAATCCTGCATCGCGCCATGAAAATTCTCGCGATGATTTATGTATAATCTGCAGGGCGACGTAATTACCAGCGTAGTTAAGCTTGATCACTGAGCCTACTAATAGGTATAAAATCCATACCTCATCATAAAGAACCTGTTCACAAGTAAATGAGTATATTTAGTATCACACATTAAGCTCACAAGTTTATCAAATGTTTGTAAATATTCTGTAAAACAAGGCATAACATTCACAATGATCTTTGTTTTGTTTTTAGAAATTCTTTTATATTACATTTGTGACAGCTACTGTTTTCGTATGGTTTAACTGTTTTTAGTATCATTGATATAAAAACGCCTAAACACGAACTCGTCAAACTCAAACACAAAATATCTTTATTTCATAAAATTGTTTGAAATCGTCTTTTATGTAGACTAAAGTCATAGATCAACACACACAATAGCAACAACCTCTGTTTTGTCAAATATTTAGCAAAATAATTATAGTAAAAATTATACCTATCGAAAATTTATTATCGTCCTTGTGCATGTAAAGATTGGTAGACCCTAATATTGGTAATGTGGTTTTGTATGAAATAGAGATAACTTGCCTCTTTTTAGTTAAGGTATTGGGTTCTTTTAAAAGATTTTTAAAAGAAATGAGAAGTAATGTCGATAAAAGATATTATCCCGTATTTTGCATTAGCAAGTAATTCAGATAATATGATTGAGTATATTTATTCATTATAGCACATTTTCTTAACAGTAAACATAACACACGTTCCGTACAATTTTAAACTTTACCTTTTGGTACACAAATGTGTACAACTTTCTTCAACATAGTTTCAACACACTCGTCATTTGTTACTTGATCTTCAATATATTTCTCGTAACCTGCTATAACATACAAATTTTGTACGTCTTCAACGCAAGCGGCCGATGTTAAAACAAGATCTGGGGCCATAATTACTCCAGCACATAACCAACCAACATAAGTTTTATGATCTACCTCCGCTTTTTTTAAATAAACCTAAAAATTTACAGATGTAAGTAAGATCATTTTAAAACAGTTTCTAAGCTTTGAAAAACTAAGTTTCATGGAATTACATTTGCTAAATATGGAGTATGGAGTGATAATTCTAAGCCTTTTTTTAAGTAACCTATAATATAGATACCCTTTGAATCCCTTTGTGGCTTTTACTTTTTGGCAATAATACCAATCGTGCATGTTTTTAATAGGAGATCCCGGTTTTTTTTACTGTTTAGCCTCTACGTTTATCTCTAGAGTGTACTCCACCTAACTTAGCACTATAGTACCCAATTTCATCCATTGCCACATCTGCCAATAAATTACTATGAACTCGTCAGTTGATAGCGTTTATATTCAACTGTAAGCAACTGATGCCCGGTTTCTGAAGTTCCCAGTTATACTCTCATTAGCTATTGGTACAATAAAGTTATGTATAGGATAAACGTTGGTTAACTGTCACTGCGTTTCTGAACACGCAATAAACCGTTCAATAACTATCAAACAGATAAGCAGTTCCATAATCTGCCGTTAGATGGGTCTGTTTAAGCGATCAAGTTTAAAATTGGTTTTATTATTTTAATTCAGGATTATTACTAGCTTTATTTACGAGAATATTTTATTCAAGGGTAAATAAGTAAATAAGCATTGTTTTAGTTATAAATTATTAAAATTCGCTATTTATCAGCGGATGAATGAACGACATCGTAGTCAATTATTTTTTTTAAATAAACGTCAAACTCATTGATGTCAAAAAAAAGTTTCGTCTAGTTTCATCGTGGTATTATTTTTCTTTGCTTTTACCGTGGTCTTTGCTATCGTTTGTGCTTTATCTTTTCTTATAAAAAATAACTATAATGGAATCTGGAAAACGTAGTAAAAATTTTACTGAGAGAGAGAAGATGCTTCTTATCGAAGTAGCCAAAGAATTTGTGTTAATCGACAATAAAAACGGCATTCGGATAAACGGCACACATTTGTCAGTTAAGTTAACCTAAGTTGAAACGGAGTTTATCTTACATTGCGATGTTCAGAAACACACTTTCTTAGGTTATCGAACCAATAGCGCTAATGAATAGATAAACTGCCGTTAAAAGTTCCTCAGAAACCGGGCATAGACACCCATCACGCAGATAAATTGGCAGCATGTTATTCATTGACACTTGCTTTCTTTCACTTGGAATGTCAACAAAACAACATAAAATACATTGTTTTATGAATAACATAGTAACAGTGACATTCCTTGATTTAAGTAAAAACATCAAAATTACTTTTTCTTCAAATTATTTCGGTAAGGAGTTTTAATGCATGAAAATTAAAAAATAAGTTTTCGTAGCTTTTTGCTATTGACTAAAGTCGCTTCGCAATTCTAGTCCTGGTGTAGTAATAATAACTTACGTCATCCTCGTAAGGTAAGTTTCGAAATATATGACGTTGCTATTTAAGTTATGTATTTAGAAACACCTCTATTTATTTTACTTTTGCTATTTTAAAAGTAAAGTGTAAATTCTAGTCATTTAAAGCTAAACAAAGTGCGTTTACCAAAGCAAGGCGTGTTATGCTCTTCTTATAAAAAGAAAAAAACTTACAACAAATGTATGGTGTTTGGTAACCTTGTGACCTCCAAGAATTCTACGCTCGCCATTGCAAACTGGAACACAAATATTCTAAAATATTATTAAGACATGTCATCAATGTTATATTCCTAATTGTAAAAAAGACAGCTAGAGTAACTTGGGATGCAAACAAATGGCATGACTTTTTAAAAAAGATAATTTATAAAGATATTTCTTCATTTTATTATTTTCCAGTAAGGTTTCGATCTATAAGAATTGAAACGGAAACAGTATCAAAAATTACTGAAACTGTCCTCTTCATACTTTATAAACCAGATATTAATGACGATTCAGAAATTCTCCTCTGATTTTCTCCTAGTGTGTTATAATTGTCTATATAACACACTGAGGTCGATGAACGAAAAAGACAAAACACATAGTAAATAACATAATAACATACACATAATAACATCTAAAGTTATCAATATATTTTGATAACTTTAGATGTTATTAGCACAAACACATTTCTATCATTTGGAGTTTACTATCAAAAAGACCCTTTACACCGGCAAACAAAATAACTATTTCTTAGCGTTCCATGGATTCACCGCACAGGTGCCGGTGCCATTCGGGTCACTGATGGGGGGCAATACATTCGACTTTGACAGCGCCTGAGAATTGCGACCCAGGAGTAGGTTAAGGGCGTACTCTTTGCGACGCTTCAGTGCTCACCTCCACTGTCTGCTGTGTTCTTCTTTAAGCGGTTTATAGAGAGATTAAACTGGTATACCCCTCTACTTCTACGGGATACAACGCCACGAAATAAGCATTTTAGTTATTCCGTTGGTTAAGTCAAAGTACTTGTTTCTTTTTAAAGCGTGGTGTTTAGGGATGTTCGTTTCCCATGGCAGCGTGAGTTCTACTACAACTTAATTAACATTGCATAAAGAAATATGTCTAGTCTGAACGCTGAGGCACAGATATCCTCCGGTATTCTGTAATGATTTTCATACGTGTCCACTAATAATGTCTAGTCACTGGTGGTTTTGTGAAGTCTTTTTTGTTGAGCCTTCCTTTACAAACTCGATGTTAATTCTTATGTTTGTTGTTATTCCTTTTTTCGCTCTCGACAGTGATAAACCGTTAGCTTCGTGTATGATTTGTTGTGTACCCTATCATGGCGACGTGAATAATGACCCCGGTCCAATGGCGTCTTACAACCTGTCAGTAAGTGCCTGGCTGTACCTTTTTCCGCATTGCACATCGTACAAGCCTTTTCTGTCGCTTTTCCACACCTTACTAGGTTGCTTTCATCTGAGAGAGTTAATTGAAAGGCGTTGAGGTAAAATTTTAATAAGGCAGGTGACCAATTGTATAAAAGATTGCGCCATTTCAAAGCTGGTTTGATACTAAATGCTCCTAGAGTTAACCATTCATTCTGCGTTTCTAGGTTCATTGTATGCACCTTGTAGGTCTCGCTTTCGTCTTGTTGTAGGAAAGATTTGTTATCTCTTTGTCGGTATGTCTTCATTTCGCAACCCAACTCTAGTGGACTGCGTACCCAACATAAATTTATTGGGGAATTGGAGCCGTGACTCGAGCTCTGATGAATATTTGTCTTTCGGAAGGGATCTAACGATGTCGTCTTCTGATTTTGACAAGACATACATTTTAGTAACTCTTAGACAAGACTAGTTAAAGTTATTAGTTATTAGTTCCCAAGACTTTTTAAATTTAATTACAAAGTTATTCGAGCCCCTGTACAATGATGACGGGTCTGCAGATAGTGCTAGCCACGACTTCAATCTCTTAGTGACTTTCGCGCCCAATGTCTTAAGTGGTTCTGGTTTTTATCGTATACCAGAAATGGTCTACGGCCTACGACCTTTGTAGTCTATCTTCCTTTTAAGGAATTTAAAAGGCAGGGTTTTTGATATTGTTGAAACTCTGTCCCCACCAACAGTAATCCCGGGATCATATGAGGTATATCTGGTACCTTGCCGGCCCAGACGAAGGCAATAGCCTCTTTCCCTCTGTCCAGGTACAGAAGTCATCCACCTTGGCACTGCTTTGGGTTACGTGTGAGGATCGCAAGGTCATCTGCGAATGCTAAGATGGATTCTGTATATTTTCCATTGACATTAAACCGGTCGCCCCACCTCTTTTCTTATGTTCAACATAAATACAATGTGTAATGTATATATGTAATATTGTCTATTAATATATTTTTAACTGTATTAAATTAAATACTACTGGTGATAAGCAGCAAGCTTTTAACAACCCTACTTTGTATTCGAGGGGTTTTGTAGGTTCCTCTTTTGCTGTGATTACATATTTTAATTTACCATAGTATGTTGCAATTATTTCACAAACTATTCGCGGAAAGTTATACAATTTCTGTTCTGTTTCTGTTCTGTTTAAAAAGATAACTCCCGCATTAGTAGTATATATCCTGTGTCGCGGGAGACTTTACAAACATACATGAAACGGACACGAAGATCACCCAGACTCAGAACAACAATTTGTGGATCACATAAAGTGGTGTCCCATGTGGGGATCGAACCCACGACACAAGCGCAGGACGCGGCGTGGCGACCGCTTAAAACACCACGCAATCCGAGCAGTCGTTTCAAGGAAAATAACATAAGCACTTGTCGTACTGAGCTAAAGGCGTTTTCTAAATTTATCCAACAGACTGTTATTTGCCTTTCATTTTTCTTAGCATCTTTGAGACTTTCCGCAAGTAATGAGTTATGATCCAAATATCCAGAGATTCCGGGCATGAACCGTTTCGGGTGATTTGGTCTGAAGTAATTATTGTTTGAGGTTTTTAATTGAAGTCAGCACAAAGATATTTTAGAAATTGTATTGGTAAGGTCTATCGGTCTAGTGTTCCTGGGATCTATTACTTCACTTTGCTTAGAAACAAGGACAAAATTAGCTTTTCCAAAGACTGTTACCAATTGGTGCTATTTCTTTGATCGACCTCATCTTGCATTTTGAATTTACTTAGAAGGTGTTTACGCACTGATGGACATTTTTTATATACTATTTATGGTATACCATCAGGCCCTGGAGCTGATTTTGATTTTTTCTTTTTTATTTGGATATCTACTTCTTCTAGGTTGACGGGTGATATATGTATGTGTGTGAGTATGATAGGTCTTCTCAGGTGCTGGCACTTCGTACATAGTTTTATAGTATTCTCGCTTCTCCTTAAAGATATTTATAGAATATTGGTCAGGCTTTCGATCGGACTCCTCTTCATGCTTTCCTCTGTTTAAGCTGTCAATTTCGTTTGCAATTTGTACTGATACTCTTTGAATTAGCTTTAATATTGATCTTAAAGCCCTGGTCAGTGGTGGCTCAGGTGGATATCGTCCATGGCTTTGGCATTCCGTAGTCGTTTCACAAGGTCCCTCTATCTCTTCCTCAATTTAGTCTTAGACTTGTTTTTATTTAGTTTATGAGCATAGTGTGTTGCGGGTGGGTAGTGCTCGATGAAATAAATGTAAAGTTTTTAAATATATGTAAACCTTTTTGGAAAGTTTCGACTTGGCTATTTAGGTCTTGTTTTGCTCCAGGATGTTCTAGGAGAACACCCAAGTTATGGTTGTGTGTTTTTGCCGAGTGTTACAATATTCAGATATGATTGTAACAAGTTTCCAATATGTTACAATCATTTATCTGAATTGCCATTTGTGCTGTGTCTGTGCATAATTGATCTATAATATGTATGTAAATAGAAATATATAAATATTTATGAACAGTCTGGTTACCATAGAATTTACCTTGTTAGGGATCGGTCTATGTGAAGTTATCACATTATTCATATTATATTATTATTTCAATACGTTATTGAGCACAAAATCAATAACACACTAACATTATTACCTATGCTCATAGCACAGCCTTAGAATATCGCGTTGATTTCTTTTCCGCTCTATTTTAACATTGTATTTCGTCATCACAAACAAGATAGACACTGTTATTGCTTAAACTTCACTTACCAGTTATAGTATTTGTGAGTATAAAGTATGAGATCAATACAAAAATCATTCTTTAGTTGTCAGAAATAACACTTACAATTCTCATTCATTTCATTACATAATGGTGCGTTAGGTTAAAAAAACAACTGAATAGCAACATATGATATTCATACATTTACGGACTTACGTAATCTACCTATTTAAGGTTTCGTTCATCTGATCAAACTCGGCGCTTTTCAGAAATTTCTGCGGAATATGAAAGACTAGACCTGACCTGCCCTGATCTTTTTGGTGTCGAGTATTTCATATTCCTTTATCAGTATGATTAAAATTGAGTTTCATTAATTTTTATTAAACCGAAATGATCAGCTGGTTCATTTTCCAAGAGTCTTTTTCTATTACACCATAGTCCCATTTGATCGATGTTACATGTTATAGAACGAGGGTTTAAATTGTAATTACTTTCAGCACATTCTTCAGTGTTTAATGTTTTGAAACGCTTTCTGGCATTTATATGTGTAACACATACAACATATGTTTTGTGCTCAAATACAATTTACATACGATAACAAGGTCAACTACTGATTTTCATGAACATGGGTTCAGATAACCGTAGGAGAGCCATGTTTTGGCATAAATGTCTCGACCGGTGTGATACCACAGTCTTACAGGAAACTAGTGATAAGCAATTCCTTCGTTGGTTCGTCTAAAGACCCCCCTCCGGTTTCCTGGGGGGACTCAGGGCGACAACGCACTTGTAACTGTTATACAATTTTATTATATTAATAAAATCAGTATTCGCAAAAACTGGATATTGTAGCTCCCTTTTTTCCAGATATTTAAGGTGAAAAGTGCCCGAACATCATTTTAGCTAAATATTTAAAGCATCATTCTGGATATTTGAACCTATCGTATACTTTTAGATCTACAAATAAATATCCAAGTGTCATACTAACTGAACTTATGTTTAGTTAAGAACTATTTACATCCCAAAGCAGCAGCATTCTTATGCATTTAGTTTTATGCCAAATACAAGAACAAATTTCTCAATCAGGTGAAAAATTTAAATGACATTTTAATTTTAATCAAAAATTAATGCTGAGCACCTCCTGACCACCTGATGGATATATAGGACTGATTAGATACTTGGAATGAATAAATAGAAGATCAATTAATTAACAAATTTACAATTTATTCTGCTACAAACTACGTTGTTGTTGTAATATTTAGTGAAGATGCATTAACCTTTTCACTGATTGTCAGCCTGTAAAAAAATTAAAAGACTGTTAAACTGACTATTACAAAACAAAGGTGTTCTTTAATATATTTCATTGAAATTGAGATATGAATAGTTAAACCTATTTCCAGGGAAATATCCAGATAATATATGGAGATGGGATTTATTTCATTAGTCGTTAAATAAAACGACTTATGAAATATAAGAAAACAAAAAACTCATTGTTATCTCGTACATCAACAACGGAACTTATGAGCGCTAACAACTCTTTATTCTTTTTTTAAATATGGAATAGGGGGCATACGAGCAGACGGGTCACTTGATGGAAAGCGACTACCGCCGCCCATATATTTTGTACTCGGACATAGAGTATCTCTACTTGCCTTCCAATTATCACCATTCTCAATTCTTTCTAATTTCTATGACTGATTAAATTGATTTCTTAACTATTCTCTCTCCATAATTTTCATGTTTACATCCAAAAGTCGTAAGTTAAGCGACGAGCCAAAAGTTTACTGATCGAAAATGCTTCATCCATTAACCCTGTATATAGTCTTAAGTATAAAATAATAGGATTCACACGTAAACTTAACACCATTAAATTTTTTTCAAGCACTTTTTTTTAAATATATAAGTATAGTCTCTGCTTAATTACTAATACTGTTCTAATAATAATAATATGTTCTTTCATTAGAATATTAACTGTCGTTGTCTTCATATTTGTGAAAGATATACGATTTCACGCATGTTTGTATATCAGAGGAACAACGTCGACGGCTAAGTTAAGTAACAGCATCATTCCTTGAAAAAGGGTACGAAGTCAAGGGTACGGTGTACTGACTATTCGGGTATCTCCGAAATACACATTAGAATAAAACGGTATATCCTTAATAAGCATACATTGGTTATAAAATTATTATACTCGTAGTTTATTATTTATTATAAAACTGACCCGCTTTTGATTTGAAGTGTTGTGTATTTGGTAGTTATTATTGGTATTATTGTATTCGCCAGAGATCCGTTGCTGACTTCTTTATATGGTTGCCTGTAAAATAAATTTGTATATACCTAAGTGTCAGAAATTTTGGTCAGTTGACATTGTTGTCCTAGTGGCCTATCGCATCACAGGACGAACAAAATGGTTACACCGCACGGCATCTTGGAGCTACTAAGACTTATTGTATTCCTTACCCTTTTTTTTCCTGTGAGGAACTCCCCTCGGATACCACCCACCAGTAAGTGGTTATGTCGGACTCGAACCGATAAAAACCCGCACACCGTCTCCAGATACCAGTAGCCGGGGAACTACGTATGAACTACTACTAGAAAGGAAAGCCCTGGTACCCCGACGTACCTCGGGCAATCTACGGCTTATAGTTGACACCCTCCTGTGTGGTATGCGCGCTTCGTAGCGCGTCACACTGCCACCCACTCTGGCCTGCTTCTGCTAGATGGCCTCACCTGTCACCCCCAAGGCCTGCACTTCGTATTCCTTACCCTAGCTGCGTTGGACTATTCATCTTCTTCACCAAAATTTAGGATTTTATTTTGTCCAGTTTAAAGACCATTGCATTGCCAATTAGGGTGGGCATTTGGCAGGCGGTAGCCGTAAAAGCTATTGCAATTTTACGCATTGCTAAACCAGAAAGTCAATTCTCGTGATATAGGATCATTCAAACTTCATGTCCGATCCATTCTCAATATCACAAATGTTACTATAGGTATTCTTGTAGTAGAGTTTTACTAAGTCTAACAGAATACCGAATCAATTTTCGGTTACAATACGACATTACAGTCAACGTTGGATGTTTAATAAGACATTTGTGACATTTGTGAGATCGAGAGTAAATCGGAACTGAATTTCGAATAAATTTTTATTACAAGAATTGAGCTTCTGAGGTCGCGAATTTTATTTCCACCCAGGAGAAAATTATGTACTGAGTATGATTATTTGTTTTTTATGTGGGTGTAATTAATAAAAATATAATTATTAAAATAATTAATTAATACACAACGCCATTTAGTTTCAAACTCAGCAGAGCTTGAACTATAAAGGCTAGATTGACTGATAGAATACATATATACTTTTTTTGTAAATACATACATACATGGAAAACACCCAATATGTTTAGTATATATACGAGTATATATATATGTTTTTATGGAATCGGAGGCAAACGAGCAGACGGGTCACCTTATGGAAACCGTCTACCACCGCCCATAAACGGCTGCAACTCGTGCGTCACAAGCGCATTGCCGGTCTTTGAGGTAGGAGCACGCTCTTTTCTTGAAGGTCAAATCGGTCCAGAAATACCGCAGCCGATAACTTGTTCCACAGGTTGGTAGTGCGAGGCATAAAGTGTCTTGAAAAGCTCACAGTGGTGGAGCGCCAATTATCCAAATGGTGGGGATGAAAAGTTTTGCCGTGTGGAACAAAGGCGGAAGGTTGCGGCCGGTATTACTCCGGACAATTCCTCGGAGCACTCTTCATGATATATACGAGCGAAGCTACATCTCTACGTAACGCCAAGGGATCGAGCCGGTCGGAGGTCTTTTGGCTATCGATGATTCGAGTCGTTTTTCTTGGATACGGTCAAGAGGGAGAAGCTGGTACTGACGTGCCCCTGCATAGAGATGAGAACAGTATTCCATATGCGGCTGGCCTTGCACTTTATGTGGTTGAAAGCGATGGGCTGGAGTGAATTACTGCCTCATCTGTTCAGCACACCGAGCTTCTTTGAGGCCAATTTGACTTTACCCTCTAAATGACCGCAAAACTGGACTTCGCTCGATATTTCGATATATTTAGAGATAAGCATATTTGTTTATAAATCATCATTATGTACCCGATTAACGGTAATACACCTGCTAACTTCTTTTTTGTTGACGGGGTGGAAAATCAATTTGGATCTCCTGCTTCTCGGGGACTCAGAAACCAGGAGTATGTGGTGATTATACTAAAAACCACCCCGATGACCTGCCTCAGGGGTTCTACTCCATGCTTAATCAGGCCCTATCCCAGGACAAAACACTTCCCCCCTCAAACGCGGCGTGGCGGCCCAATTGCGTCTTAATGCAATCAGGCTGCCATTCTATCCCCTACCGCAGCAATCAATCTGCCACCAGATGTCCCCACTCTTAAGCGGAAAGAGACCGCTGAACGGGATCGGGAGAGGGCCGATCCCGTTCAGCGGTCTCTTTCTAGATGGACGGAGCATTACAACTTCACAGTAAGAGACCACTGCGCCCCAGGCTTCCTCACCCGCCAGCATGGCAGCAATAATTGCTGGCGGGGACAGGTCTCGTTCAATTTAGCCGACCAGGACTTCGCGTTCAAACGCCCACGCGGGGCAGTCTTCGAGCATATGCTGGGCGGAGTCCCATTTAGCGGCGCAGTGCTGACATTGTGCCGTCTCCTTTCCTCCGATACGATTCAGGTACTCACCGAAGCAACCATGCCCAGTACTACAGCTACAGACTGACGCAGGTACTTACCTGCGTCAGTCTGTAGCTGTAGGTGGAGGTTAGGCAGAACAGCACCGACGGCGCGTTGCCATGCATTCCACGGCCGTTCCAGCAGCGAGCGTCTCTGCACCAGTGCCTGAATACACTTGCTACCTGGTACTAAAGTGTATGTACAGTAAAATGTAGGCATTGAATATGCCCACAGTTTACTGGGGAAAAAAACGGGGAAAAAAAACGCCAGTGTATGTGAATGTGATGACATCCTTACAAATTTAACATATTCTCAAGGTAAATGTTCTTACGTGGGACTGGCTTTTATTTGCTGTGTCGTTTCTTTGGTAGATAAACGAGGTTTTGTTGTGTTAGCCACAGGCGCCTTCATTTCGTCGTTGTATAGTAACCTGTAAATTAAAATAAACATACATTGAAGTAAAATATAAATACAGCTTTAGCTAACAATAGTAAATAATTGGATATAATTTTTCTTTATTCTTATATATTACCTATAAGTAGAGTGTGATGTTCAATATGTTTCTAATAAATTCACCAGTAACTAAATATGTTAAGAAATCTTAAAAATCTAGTTTAACCGACATCTAATTGACGTACCTGCCTAAATCAAATGTTGTATTTTGGTTTAATTTTCAAAGCATTTATAATATACTCCAGGGAAAAGACATGCCTGCGTCTAACAATAAATAAATAATTAATGAATAAAATACTTTCCTGAATACGTCCTCCGCTCTTGGTTTTTCGGTCATAAATGTTTTCATTGGTGTGGTTGATGTTTCATTTGATAATATCGTATTAACTATTCCGGAATCTGAAAATCTATGAAAATAATTAAATACTAATAGACTTGCAACTCAGAAACAAGGGGGTTAACACCGGTTTTCTGTGAAGTTCCCGACTTCACAGAAAACCGCCCGCCAATCTGTGCTGAAGCGTGGTTCGCCCGTCTATTCTACTCTATCTTTCGTCATTTCATTGTTTACACAAGGATATGACTGGGCCCACACAGTCCATACACTTTTTCTTTGGTCTTCCTCTTCTATTGTACCCTTCAACTCCCATACCTAACACTTTTCCTTCCACATTTTCCTCATCCCTCCGCATGACATGTCCATACCAAGATAACCTATTACTTCTTAATTTATTATCGAAAGGCGCTACTTTCAGACTCCCTCTTATATACTCATTCCTGACCTTGCCCATCCGAGTCCACACATACATCTCAACATACGCATTTCGGCTACGTTCAGTCATCTTTCATCTGTTGTGTTAATGAGATAACTTTCAGAACCGTACGAGACAGCAGGTCTGGTGATGATGTATCTTGTAATAGCATACCCATGACCAGATTTTCTATATATTTTATTTAACTGTGTTTTATGTACATTTTAGTACGGAATTAACTTGCGAATAAAGTAATAAATTATACCGTGTGGTGACGGATTAAGAATACAGAGCTTCACCACTCCTATTAATCCCGTGGGTGTCGTATGAGTCGTCTAAGGGAGCAAACTACGCAGGACAATAGCAGCAGAGAGATAACAGGCCATAACCTCATTTCTAAGGAGATGCCAATGTCCAGCAGTAGACTATTAAGCCCTTAATTTTGCCCTTGTTTTGAATTTAATTTGAAATTTAAAAAAAAAAGGATTTATATTTCAGGGCACAGTAAACTTTATTTTAAAGTGACTCATCTTCATAGTAAGAGAGCAATGATAGAAAACCATCAGGTGACCCATCTGCTCGTTTGCGACCAAAAACCGCACCCCATCTCGGTACCAGTAGCCGGATAACTAGGTGTACCCTAGGTAAGAAATCCTTGGAAGCTAGTTTGCACTCCTAATACAGAAATTTCTCCAGAAATCTTCATAGTACAAAATCTACCTTCTAATAATCTGCAAAAAACTCTTGTATTAGATGTTATAGGCTTATGGCAAGAATACTATCACTACAGGATTATTTTGGATTCGTTTTAAGGTATTCTCAAATGACTGCGCTTCAAGTAATGTCAACTAATTTCAAATATGTTGAATAATTAAACAACAAAATAATTTTCATAATAGTGTCTTACCGAGTTCTTGGTAATATTTCTGTTGTATTTTGTAAGGAGCCATTAATCCGTTCTTTGTCTGAGGGTCTAAAAATTAAGTAATTTTTAATAAAAATGTAGATACAAAATTATTAACATTATGATAAAATAATAATATTAAAAACAATAATACATAGCAAAATTCCTTTAAAAAACGCCAAACGCCAGAAAAATGTGCGATTCTCCAATCAAGCAACCTTCAGTTTATTTTTTATTTTTCGTACTATAATTTGATTTTTAATCATAATGTCATCGTCAATCTCTGCTTTGGCTTTAAATTAAGTGGTTGTAAAATCATACGAATTAAGAAATAGCAATCTGTGCAATGGTCTCTAAGAAACATTTTGGGTTAAATGTAATTTCTATAACATACCCATCTGGATGATGTACCCATGAAATATGTGTTTCCACTGTGTCGAAACCCTTTTCTGCAGGCGAACCACTGCACATTCTACGCCTGAGCAAAAGAAAATGCAAGTTGGTCTAATACCTTATTGCTGGTAAACTTGTACAATTCGAGAAATAACATGTTTTTTGTTTCGTATTAAGTTTTCATATTTTATTATTAGAAATTACTTCTTATTACATTTATTTAAAGTAAAACAAATATAAGAAATCATGTATATGATTATTTTAGGTAGATGGTAACGATTAAAATTAAAGAAACGAATACAAATTTATTAAAAGAAATTTAACATACATTGTCCTAATTTATAAATATATTATTTTAATCCATTAAGTAAATAATACTTACGTTTTAAAGCAAAGAGGTCAAATTAAAGTGTCTTGTACATCTCCGGCATACTTTTGCTCTGTCATTAATTGGTTGTTTTCAAATGAGACATACCCCAAATATGGCTTTTTAAAGAATACAAGTCCTTAAATTAGTAGAAAATCTTACCTTGATTCATCACCTTTGTCTACCCCTAAAACGCAAGCCAAGAAAGCACCATTACATTCCGTACTGGTGTAAAGATACGGCCCAGTGCATTCCATATCTTTGGACACTTTAAACACTGATGCAACAGCGATCAGATACTCTTCGCTTCCGATCCAAGTTACAATGGGTCCACCGTGGTCATTCTACATTAAAATAGAAACGTTATTATCTAGATTGTAAAGTTACATTTAAACCGTTTGGTAAGAATTATATTTTACTACTAACAGTAATGTATATTTTTTATGGTATAGGGGAAAGCGAGCACGGGCACTCCGTTATTGTGGCCGTAAAACCCGCTATGGAGCATTGACTCGAGAGGCATCACGAGACCCTCTCATACCGGCTGACAAAGATGCTTCGGGGATCACCTGTGTCTGATCCGCAAGGGGCCAACGCCTGAGTGCCACCACTGCGATGGCCGGATCGTGGACACAGCGCTCCACACGCTGGCAACGACGAATGCTCGACGTGGGTTGAGCAGAGGTGTGACCTCGTAATTGCCATCGGAGTGGGAATTCTCTCGCTTAGTACCATGATTGCGGCTGTGAGCGAGAGCGCATGGAACTCCGCCGTATTCTTCTGTGAGCAAGTTATGCTTGCGAAAAATAAAGGAGGAAGCAAGCAGACGTAGCAGTAGCAGCAGTGACTTCCGCTGCCCATGGACACATACAAAACGCAAGTGTGTTGGCCCCTGTTGTGTGCATCAACCAGAAATTGGGGAGTTGGGCCTCTGGAACCTCAATCACTTGATGAACAGCAAGTAAGGAATCCCTTATTACTGGTTTTTGTGAGGCCTCATCACTGCGGTTGAGCGAGGCCGTATGTACCGAAACAATCAAAAAGAAAAACGAAAAACTTTTTAGCTTTAGAATACTGGTATAGTATAGGTGTATGTACCTACTTGACAAATACCATTTCTTCGTGTGTTAATTATATCAATATCGTCTATGTCGCTTGTATTAGTTCTAAAAGATTTAGTAATATTTCCATTAGATAAATCCATTGTATCCATTTTTGTTTGAAGTCTACGAGTGTCTTCTACCCAACTCATATCATCTTGCTCTATCGCAGGTTCGCACTAGACAAATAGTTATACTATTAAAATAAATATAAATGCTATAAATTATTTCTTTTCTGAAATTGATAAAACAATAAAGGCGTTTACAAAAAGCGCAAAATAAAAAATTTAAATTAGAAAAGTCTGATTTAGCTAAATATATTTGCCTGAAATTGAAAATAGTTAAAATTGGAAACTCCAATTTTAAATATGATGAGAGTGTATTATATTATTTGTGTAATATTAAAGAATTACAATATTAAAGAATATTAAAGAGTGACAAGGTAAAGAATATAGGAATGTTTTCTTCGAAGTTCTTATGTATTTCTATTGTTGTATTGCTGAAATACCCACTCTTGATAATGGGGATGACGAGTCTGAAGCAAGCCTTTTCTTTTCAATTTTCAAGTGAAATCCTTTCTGTAACTACAGGTCGGACAAAAAACCAAACGACTGGATAGTTAAAAGTGAGGTCTCTGAGCAAAAGTATTTATCGAAGTTAATTAAAAATATTTATTAATTGTTACCATCGTTAACTTTAACATAATGAGTGTCTGTTTATTGTTGAATATGACCAAAGAACAAATTTTTAGTCATATTTAACAAAGTAAAGAAAAGTTCCAATTCCATATTCATTTTTCAAACGTCGTTATCTGTTGCTTCTTTTTATATGGATTTATTTATAATATTTTATTTTACTTCACAATACTCACTTCTGGCTGAAAATAAATTAAAAAGAAGATAAATCTAAATTGCATTTTCTGAAAAAAAATTCTGATATTTTTTTAACGTAAGGTAAGTTCTATTCATAAATAAACAAGTTCCAATTACTTATAAATTTTAGATACTTGCCGATTTATTGTCAAAACCCATCAGTTGTTCCACGTTGTCCTCATGGCCAGGGCAACCATTTGCCACAGGTTTACTTTTTTCTCTCAGAGCTCCCTTTGAATCAATATTGCCTGCTTTTATTGAACAAATCATGTATGAATCTATAACCTTAGTCATTCCAGCATATTTCTCATATTCTTTTTTACATTCTTCTTTATCGGCTATTAGTATTGGAGTATATTGCAGCGTAACATTGTTATAATTTGCTTTATCGGTTTCCTAATGAAGACATATTAATTTTCATTAAGATATTCATTTACAAGTTTATTATTTTTGCGAGTTAATATTTCAACAGTTCAAAATATAAGAGACTTTTTAATATTCTGCTAGAAATATTAAAAAGCTTTTTAAGAAAATATAAACTTCCTTTTTTCTTGAAATTTTTTTTTAAAGGCAGCACCCGCTTTATTGAACTTTATGATTGAACTTTACCACCTAAACCACTACGCCATCCGTCGAAACTTTACAGCATTTCATAACATATGGATTGCACTTTGAACATGGAACATGATGATGGAAACAGATTGAATATAGTTACTATGACAAATAACAGATCATAATATAATAATTAAGTTTATTTTATTAGAAGTTTCTTAACAAACAAGAGTTGAGCTTCATAGCTTGGTTTTTAAAATAGTCTTGTAAGAATATCTGTTATTCTAGTCAACTTTTCGTTACTCATTGATAAACAGCTTAACGTCAATATTTAATAAATTAAACAATAAAAAGCTGCTTAGAAACAAGACTTTCGATAGTAGGAATTTTTAGGAAGTTATCACTATTAGGATTAATAGATTAGCACAGCTATTTACTCATTTTGTTTTATCTTAATTTCAGACTTAGTTAATTCTTTATTTTTACTAGATAGTCGCTTTAAGAAAATGTATTGAAAATAATTCTTACCGATCTCCACTTAGATCTATGGCCCCAGCCCAGTGCTATGGCATCAATACCTTCAACTTGATACTTTGTTTCAAAATTTATTTCAATGGGCTTTGGAATATAAGAGCATAACAGTTCGAACTCACTATCGTCTAACCTATAGGGTGACTCTACTTGAGCTACCGCTATGTCTATAAAAGACCACTTCTCCAGCTTATTGTAGTCTAACTCATAGGCTGAAATTAAATGCAGTTAGCCAATTGAAATAATATATTTCAAATTTTGGACTTACGCGATTCTTGTATCGTGTGATAGCGATGATCTGAATAATGTTACAAGTAGATAGAACTTTGAGAGCAGTAATAAAAACTATGTTCAAAAACTTTTTCGGTGTCCAACGAAAATCCTGTACAATTGATTAAATGTTCGCCACTGTTTCCAAAATGTATAATTTTGGAAACAGTAGTTAGCGTCCATATCAATAATAATAAACGACGTATGTACCAATCACCGTTGCCCAAAGTTAACACCGGCTTTACCCTACGATTCAGTCCATTTAAAGACAGTTAAATTTAAAAATTAGACGAAATTCTTGCGATATAAACTGTGAAAGAGGCAAACATGACTCATTTTTTGTCTTTTGACTTCACAAAGAGTCTCTAAGTTTGTCATAGATATTGTAGTCCTTGTAGATGGTCTAGTAAATGGATACACAGTTATATTAAGCTGTGTTTACATATGGTACAATAATGGTAAACAGAATTTTTAAAAGTAGTACTAGTTGTTAATGTTTTATGCCCGAGAACCTTAATATAGCCCGAGAAAACAATACTTCTCGCAAGTTCAATCATCTCTAGTAGGACACTACACCATACCCGCAGTAAGGCCTACCCTAATGTGGGGCCACAGTTTAATGCACAATATTGTATGTACTTTTTGGCAATAAACTAATTTCTATTTTTATTTATGCACAATATATAATATTTAAGTTTAATGCACAATATTGTATGTACTTTTTGGCAATAAACTAATTTCTATTTTTATTTATTTATCTTCGTAGAGAGAGGCTTGGTTCATCTTATTACCAGCATATTTTGCCTTTCTTTTTTATATTTGCATTACCAAATTCAAGTTTTTTCAGATGTAGAGGTTAATAATCTTAGTTTAATAATAAACCTTAAAGATTTAAGTATTAATCAAGTACTTATTTATACTGGTCGCAACTACTATCAATAAATCATACTATTATTTGCACTCCAGTATTGAAAAAAATAAATAAGAAAAACAGTACTTACTACTTACATTTAGGTACACAAGTAAAAATAATTTTCTTTTTCATCTTGCTAGTACATTTATCTTTATAAAGCTCTTCCTTTGACACATATTTGTCGTAGCCGGCAATTGCATATAAATGCTTGACGTCTTCGACGCAAGCAGCAGATGTTATTATAAACTCATTGGTTACCAATGCTCCGCCACACATCCATTCGTCATAGTCCAGTGGCGATATACGTGATTCTAGTAAGTAAACCTGGGAAATGTTGGTTAAGTTTATTTCCAGTAACATCATACATTCATTATAAGATGTACATATAACAAACATTCCGCTCTTGCCCTCGTCATGTTTATCTCATCATCAGTATCAACAACCTCTAATAGTCCACTGCTTTACATAGGCCTCCTCTTAAAAAGGTGGTTTCATCCTATTCAACGCTGCTATAAGGATTATTTCAAGTTTTCCTTCACTTCCAATCGTCTTAAGTATTTTTTTAATAGTAGTTTATCATAATAACAACTGAATCGATTCGTATTTTTATCTTCTGAAGAAATTGATAATGATGCAAAGACTATAGAAGGATTATAGCTATGCCCAACAAGTATTGGGCGGAATAACCCATACATCACTTCCACCGCCAAAATTATAGTAATCATCATATAACAAGAAAAAAAATTTACCACGTATCTTTTTTGTTCGCTAACTTTATCACCATTCACTATTCTTCGCTGGCAATTACATACTAAAAAATAATAAGTACAATTGTCATTAAGAATAAGTATTAGTATCATCAAGGATTGATTTGTCTATGGAAATATTCTTTAAACAATTTAGTTTAGATCATAGAGTAATTCTCAAATGTCCTTCTGCCACTAACTGCAACGTTATTTGTCTTAAAAAAAATTAAATAACTAAATTTAAATAACAACAAGATTACTAGAAAGATTTTACAGTGTAAGAGACATGCTTCAGCTCATACTATTATTCAAAAAAAAAGTGGCGATGAGTTTGTTTGCCCTTTCTTCTCATAAGGCTCAGTCCCTTGGAAATGGGTATTTGTAGATCGGCACAGGCATATACTAGATTTTTGATACATATATATTCAAATTGCTTCATACTCGTATTTAACGAAACAGCGATTGTTGCTCAACAATCTCTGTTTTGTTAAATATTTACCAAAATAAAAATGTATATGTATGTGTGTTGATCTATGACTTTAGAGTCTACATAAGAGACGATTTCAAACAATTTCATAAAAGGAGGGATGAGAAAAATGTGGACAATAAAGTGCTATGTATGGGAGTTGAAGGTTACAAGAGAAAAATAATGCCAAAAGGTGGACGGACTGTGTGAGAGAGGTTATGGCTAGGAAGGGAGTAAACAGTGAGATGACGAATGATAGAATATGGAAGTATTATACTTAGTGCGCCGACCCCAAATAAAATTGAGATAAGGGCAGGAACATGATGATGATGATATATTTTGAGTTTGATATGAATCGTGATAGACCTCACAGAAAACCGGTGTTAAGCAATTCTTTTGTTGCTTTCCAACGAGTTACTGAAGTTACCAACTCCCCCAACCTAATTCCAAGGGAAGGCTCTTGAATGGCAGCAACGCACTTGTGTCTTATGAATTAGAGGTGTCCATGGGCAGCAGTAAGCATCATCAGCAGTACTATTCTCTAAAGAAACAGCCTTGGGTACAGCGCTGCTATAGCTATCGAACTTCAAACTAAATTCAACGCTACAGCGATGTCACAGCGTCGAATTTCAAACTAAGTTATTTTGAAGTTCGACGCTGTGGAAGCGCTGTTTTCGTCCATTTGCCCGAATTCCATAGAAAAAAAGGCAAAGGTCCTTGTAACTTAAAGTAAAATTATGCAACTTACCGTGGAATAAAACAGAAAAAAAAATAACCTGACTCAAATTTACAAGATGCATTTTTCCCACACAACTGTTTATATATTTAATAATTCCTTGGATGTTAATTTTACGGTATGCAATACAATGATATTCAAAATTGATTGAACATTAAGTTTTTTACGACTCTTATTAGGCTACCTGGGATTGTTTTACTTTTAATACGGGTACTCCACGTAAACTCGCCTGTACTTTTAACAATATTTGGTCACACAGCATAATAACCCGGTTCTTAATATAGCTGACCTTTTGAGCTCGATATAGTCAGTCAGAGGAAGTATAGAAAAGAAATTCCTTGGATCAGCCATCCCTTTATATAGAAGGAACTGTCGCGTGTTATGTTTGTATATACTAAAGAATTAAGTCTTAGTTAACTAATGCAAGATGTTAGCAAGGAAATTTCAACTTAGAACATTGTAGACTAACCGTCATACAATTTCACTCAGATAGTATTTCTTTAAAAAATAATGACAACTGCTGCAGTAGGAATATACCCCGTGTCGGCAGCAAGGTAACGAGGTAAATCACTACGCCATCCGTGTATAAAACTCGTATTACTTTATTAAGAAATCATCATCGTGAAAAGTCTTTAGTAGTCCACTGCTGGACAGGTTTTGGCCTACTATAACATTTTGTCCAGACGGGTGGTAGAGAGTTTGTGTCAAGTTTTACATCTTTTTGCAGTGCTGTAAGTTGTCCTGCATAGTTTGGTCCCTTAGACGGCCCTTACGACACCCACTTGATAAATAGGGACAGTAACACTCCTTATCATTAATCCGCACGGATGGATAGTTAGAAATATGATAAAATTAAACTGCCTCGGTGGTGCAGTGGTACCGTATGCGACTGCCCTCCAGAGATCTTGCGTTCGATGCCCGGGTCGGACCAAATGTTTGTATGATCTGCAAATATTTGTTTCGGAGTTTGGGTGTTTCCTATGTATGATATGGTTGTATTCACAAAAACAAAAGTATATCGGTATTCTATCAGTCAATCTAGTTTTCATAGTACCAGCCCTGCTTAGTTTGAAATAGATGGCTTTGTGTCAGATGTCCGAAATTATTATTATTATAAAATATTATTATTATAAATTATATAAGTATCTTTGTGATATATATGTAGCGAGTTTATGATATTAGACTTGTCTCCTATTACGTAAGTGGTACTAAAATTGTAGTCGTCAAAATGTGGGCGTTTTATACTCCTCTGTGTCCTCTTCGGGGATAGAGCCGTGTATGTAAGTATATTTCAAAAACATGTTTTTGAAACATGTAACTTAACATTGATTAGTGACTTTAGCACTTTTGAGTTAAATATTTTTCTAATACCCTAAAAATGTATGTTTTAAAAGAAATTAATTATGGTTTTTTACTCAAAATTCAAAAAATAATTCTTTTAATTTGAAATACTATAAATTTTCAATAAAAAGGTTGAAATGAAAGTTGAAAATGCGGATATATATTTAACTATGAATCCCCATTAAAATGTAAATGAAAATGTAACAAGTGAATATGTTTTAAGGTCTAATTAAGATCTAATTAAGGTCTAATTAACTAACTATGTATATTGATGAAATATTCACTACTTCACTTACTACTACAAACTAACGTTAAATTATCCTAACACTAAATAAAAAAATGAAACTTGTCACCAATAGAAGAATGTCCCAAAAACTTAGCACAATTAGGATCGTATTTCTCAGATGATAGGTTTTATACTTTCAACCAATAAGGAGGCAGTAATGGATGCAGGTAGCAATAAAAAAACACAAACACTTCAGATTTGAACTGGTTCTTAAGTTTTAATAAACTGTTTCAAGTCTAATCGAACAATGAAGCGTCGAACACGCGTTCATTTTAAAAATATAAGCAACTACCAAAAAAGAAATACTAAGTATTTTTAACAAATTTTGTTTCAGACTTCCTTTAAAATTTGTGACAGTGGTTTCTGTGGCCGTAGAAGATACTTTTCTTGTTCACCATCACTGAAAAGAAGCCAAATTCAAAATTATTTAACGACACTGTACTAGGGTGCCACAAATAATATTCAGATATATATGACTGTATGCTACTTTGTAAGGCGTATACATGATTTTGATCCGTGATATGATAAAGCAGAATTTGAATCAGATTTTATGTAGTCCTACCAATCCTACCTACATTTACCAAGCATTCATGTAAAAACACAAACATAAAATAAAACGCAATTTTATGTGGGGTTAGTGTAATATATAACAACGGAAAGAGTTTTAGCCAGTTACTCTAATGACGGGTCATCTGCCTGACGTGAACCCTCCTTAGAGTTAAATTATTTATGACATGACTTTGAAAGTAGGTAAATCGGGTAAAGAAAATGAATAAGGCGAGGGAGCAACTGTTAGATTAGGTTATCGAAGCTACTGTAGATCGGAAACACGATGCCCTAGACTACGAATGGCCATTCCACAACTACATAATATATTAATAAAGCCGTACATTTAAACAAGTTGGCCCTGCGGTCACTTGAGGACATGTCAGGGCTAATTATCCGAACCCTCTAATGAACAGGCAATAGCCACCGTGGCCGAAATCAAAACATGACTGAGACTTGTATTAAGTCGAGTCGCGTATCTGACTGTCCTGTGATTGAAGAAATCACTAAACTTTTAACTGGCTCGGTCGAGTAGATTGAGTAGAGCAAAGTAGCTTAGAATAATCCTTAAAGAGTTTTCTCTTACGTGCATTTGTTCATTTGGGCAAACGGAACCCTAAATTTATGAATATTTCTAAATATGGTCCTACTGAATTACATGTCCCAATTAGATTACATGTAAATAAATATAATAACATGATAACATGTAAATATAAGAAATATAATAACATGTAAAAAAAACTACTCTAAAAAAGTACTACTCTTTTCATTTTAATATAACATGAACGAAAAAGTTTACTTTACTTACTCATCTTTCCATACTACACTTCGTTGAATTATATCGAAACCCTTTTCTTTTGGCGGCAAATAACAGTAATCTGGCCTGTAAAATTTAAATACATAATTGCAGTGAAAAAAAAATTGTCACTCTCATACACTCATCATTATCTCAACTTCTAGCAAGAAAATGAAAGGAATCTAGTTAACGCGGTACTTTTTAGGTAGGTGCTTGTTTCTGACAGTGGAGTGAGACTAGGTTTTAAATGAAATCTCACAATGGTTATCAGATACAAAGTAGACAGTCTGAGTCACTCAACTCTAAAAATCTCATTTTAATTAAGTTGGAATCAAACGTTCAGTTAGTACGTAATAATTTATTACGTAGGTTACGTAAACGGTATCTTAGTCTGTATCGTTACTTTA